TGTGAGCCCTCATCAAAGACACAGTGTTTATGTGCGCAGATCACCACCGATACCCATGACACACACCCGGAAAATTTTTAGAGGTAGTGCAGTGTCTCTTTTATCTCTTTCACACTTTGTGCTTCAGTGGAATACGAAGACATGTTCCAGGATCATCTTTCCATTCACTGGATGCTGTAAAATCTTAACAGATTTTGTAGAAATGTTAAAACAAACCTTCTTTACATGAGTGTCACAGTTTAGAGATATCATACACTCTTATCAGATATGACCTCATGACCTCCTGCCTTATTATTTGTTGACCCCTATTTTCCTCCCAAAACAGCCTTGACTGATGGATCCATGTTCTCCACCAAGCCCCTGAAGCTGTGCTGTTATCTAGATGTTCATGGTTGATCATTTAAGTTATGAGATTTGTTGGTCAAGCTCATCACAAAAATGCTGTTAACTTGATTAAATGTAAAACGAGGCAATATGGAGGTCAAACTTTAAACCAATCCTGAACCATTATCGCTTTTTGACAAAGTTCATTATCCAGTTGAATTAGATGCACCTGGTCAGGTGGTATGAAACGTCCACATGGCTGACAGGACCCAGTGCTTCCTGAAACGTAAAACTGCCTCCACCAGCTTCTCACAGTGCATCCTGGTGGTTCTTAAGTTCCCCAGGCAGGAGACCCACATGCGACTGTCCATCCATGTGACCCAAAGGAAAACATGCCTCATCATCAGACCAAGCTACTTTCTTCCATTAGTGGTTCAGTGTCTGTCCTTGTACTTCTGACCTTTGTCAATCACTTTGTGTTACACCTCACTGTATGAAAAGTGCTTCATAGGTACAATTTGACTGATTGATTGCTTTGTGGTCAGGTTCTGATACCCATTATTGGGACTTTCAGTGGTGTAAAGGGGTTAACCTTAACTGGTCTATGGCAATGCATCTCCAGTTGCAACAAAATATAACCCAAAATGTATAGTTTTGTGTTATGTTTTGCCTTTCTACCAGTTGGTTTCTGCCAGAAGGCAATGTGAACTACCTATGTGAGCCTTTGTTTCCCACATAAAGCCCCAGCCACCCATGCTCTTCCTTCCTTTCTTCTTCATTTTATACCATGCAAAGCAGATGCTCCATCTGCACTGATGAAGATTCACTCATCTCAACATGCCAAATACCCCACTAAGAGGGCAGTGTGACCTACATTTTTATTCATTAGCGAATGATTGCCATTGTGCGGAGCTGAAAAACTCTATAGTGCATTGAACTTCCATCCCACTATGATCAGACAATCAACAAATAGTAATAAGAATAATTTTTATTTACATAGCAATTTTTCAGCAATGAGGCAGTTCAAAGTTTCCCCATAACGAGGGGAAAAAACTACAATCTGGCAACAAAAAGTAACTCAGTCCTTTGGAAAATGCACTGTAAATTTGGAAAATGTGCCTCATATTATCCCAATGAAAGCTATATAGAATGTGTTTTAAGAGATAAGTTTGTATGTGAAACAATAAGAAACAGCCTAACTAAAAATGGTTAATGAAAACAAAGGATGCCATTACACTTTCATCTTTTTTTATTAATCATTTTTCAATAAAGGGACAAAATGGGCGTGTGAACAGGATTATGCAGACATCTGCCAGAAAACACAGACAGTGGTATTCCCAATACAACTGAACAGAGACCCCAAACAGGTACAACAGAAATCATAGAGCTTGTTTTGTCCAATGACCACTGGCCACCATTAGAAAAGAAAACATAATAAAATTATAGTATAACCAAAACAAAAGAATAAAATAAAAACAAACCAAAAATATATGACTCCATTCCATGTCTCTGTTCAGAACAGAGCATATAGGTAATAATAAATAGTAGCTCCCATTGTAAAAGATAAAGTCCATGTTCAAGTTACAACAAACAGCTCTCAGAACAGGAATAGAAAAGGCTGATAACAAAATATTCCGCATTGCCATTTACAAAAAAAGTCTCAACTCAAGCAGGCTTCTCCACATCCCCTGGTCATTTTTAAATATGCTTTGCATATGAAAGTATATTCACCCAATCTAAATATAAAGCACCATTTAGTATTTGGCAATGGAAAAGAAAATGCAAAAACATTTTATTTCTTTTTAAATGTATTTATTTTAACTTTTTTTTTTAAGTAATCCATGTACTGCATATTAAGTTTTTTTTTTATCTTTAGATTTTTTTTCCTCCTCTCTTCTTGATGTTGGAATGTTGTCAGGTGGGAGAGGTGAGAGAGACAAAAGCACACAACAGAACAGGTCAACGTCAGCTTTCAGTACTGCATACAGGAATGGCAGCAGAGGGAGGAGAAAGAAGTGCGAATAAAAAAAACAAAACAAAAAAACAAAAAAAAAACAAAGAAGATATGTACAAACACCTCTGTGGACAGCAGGAACCAAAGCAGCAGCCATCTGATGGCCTGCGACGCCTCCCAATGCCACACATTTTAGCTGCTTTTTTTATGGGATGTTCTTTTTTTTTATCGTTTTATTTTATTTCTTTAGACATACAAATAATTCGCACTATATTATCCTGCCAAATTAAAAAAATATACCGTGGCAGCTTGGGTTTTTTTCCACTACCAAAACAGGTATGGCAAATACCTTTAGAGAGAACAAGCAACAGTTAAAAATACGAGCCTCAATATAAATACTATAGTGCCTACTCTAAGTGAACATTGAATTCAAATACAATTCTAGAAATACAGAAAAAGTAGACCATAAATGTGTTTAAGTATAGGAACTGACATGACTGTGCATTTTCCTATATTTTAAGTTCTTTATTATATATTCATATATAATCTTAATCCTTTCCCCAATGCAAATTGTATTTCAACCTGAAGAGCCGTAAAGAACCAAGGCAAAAAAAAGAAAGAAAATTAAAAAGAAACAAAAAAATCAGCACAAAATCTTTTTTTGTTTTTTCTAACGTTTCTGAAATGTTTTACCTCATATTTACTGTGACGGGAGTACTGGATGCCATTGAGATGCAGTAACAAAACTTAAAACATTTCCCACTAAAACATAGCGTAGCTCTGTTTGTGAAAAAATTTTCTATTTATGCCCGTGTTCTACAAAAACAGTCTGATGGTGTGAGCAACAAGATCGGAGTGTTTGTTTTCCAGGCAGCAACTTGCTCAGATGATGTTAAATCACAATTTCTTAAAAAAAAAAAAAAAAAAAAAAAGTGGTTGTTAATAAAGCCAGGAGAAGTGCATTTAGTTTGCTACTATGTGGGAGCAGTGGTTAGTTGGGAGGAGAGTGTGCTCTTGGGTTTCCAGGGTTAACAAACGGTCAAGGGTGAAATGGCGAGGATACAGAGGTCAGGGGTGATGAAGCTGCTAGCAAAAAGATTTTTGGCGTCTTTTTTTTTTTTTTTTTTTGTACCACTTGCAACAAAGGGATCCTCATCATCTGACAGCATTACAAAGATTTTTCCCTTCAGCGTAAATTTGTAAACTGGGAAAACTAAAAACAGTGCACTTCATGTCAAACAAATCCAGCTTGTAGACTCAGTCCATGTACCATCTCTGCATGGATGTGGGACAAATGCACACTTAGTGCTTTACATTGAACAGCATGAAGGAAACTGAATCAACAAAAACTTCTTTTGGGTTGAAAATCAACAGAAAACGAACCAAAATGAAATAGAACGCACCCTGTGTTAACCTACAGTGACTCGCAAAAGTGTTCACACCCCTGTTGAAACGGCAGGTTTTTGTGAAATACAATTTTTCAAATATGTTTCCATGTTTAATGCAGCGGTATATTCTCATTCATTTCAACTAAAAATTAACAAATCTGTTAGGAGAGTAAATAAAATAAAACAATCTGGTTTCATAAATTTTCACACCCTTAAACTTAATATGTTATTTCAGCTGCCTCTCTGATTACAACCTTTAAATCGTTTAAGTGGATCTGCTAAACTAGAAATAAAGCTAATTTGGATCAATTAGGTTTATTTTGAATAAAGCCATGGTTTATGGTGATGTGATAAAGGCTCCAAATAATCGTATATATACACCATAACAGAGTAAAGAAAGCCATCAATAATTTGAACAATTACAGGACAACAGGAACATAAAAATTGGATTGGTCACTAAAACGTAAGAAAAGATAAGAATTGGTTGGGGAGGGGTGCCAAGCGGCCTACAGCATCATTGAAGGAGCTGCAGTAATATTTCTGCCAATTTCTGGTTGTGTTATAAAATCTGAACTATGGAGATTGGCTGCATAAAATAAAAGAACCTCTAATAAAACATCCAGGACTGATCTTATCTTAAAGATCTTGTGGGAAATAGTGTATGGTCTGAACATTTAACCCCATACATAATGAAGAACATACCCACAGTGAAACATGATGGTGACAGCATCATGATCTGGGAAAGCTTTCTTTTGGTAAAACAAGAGATTTCATAGAGGTGGCTGAAAATATGAGCAGTTTCCTGAAGATGGCCTCATAATCTGAGAGATTTAACGTATTTTTCCAAAATAAAGTCTGCAAATATTGACAAGTCAAGATGTAAGACACTGTTAGACTCCAACCAAAGTGTGAATGTTGAAATTTAATCAAATTATGCTTCATTGAAGTATTAGTTCAGGGATGTAAACATCCAGATTTCACCTTTTTTTTCTAGAAGATTTGTTTGTTCTTTTAGTTTAATTGTGGAGGAATAATTTCATTTTGAATGTGGAAAACATGTTAAATTTATTTGCAATATTATTTATTAAATCACAAAAACCTGATATTTCCACAAGGCTGTGCACCGTTTTAAGAGCCACTGTATGCATATTGGTTAGCATTAAAACATTTCTGAAAAGCCCTAAAACACAAATACATGTTTTTGCAAGTGTCTCTTTCTCTGCTGATGGCCATGTTTGGAGTTGTAAAGTGAAAAACATTGCCTTGTATCCCGTAAAGCATACGTCGCTTCCAGTTCTGTTTTGCTTTCTTTCTGTCTAGCTTGTATTGTCTTTCACTGCTCTTAAGTAAAGTTAGCTTAAATTTGAGCTCACATATTACTTTATGCATTGTTCCACACACTGACATGCTGAAAGCAGCATTGTAGGTTTGTGCTAACACAGACATGTGACACTCTGCGCCTCATCCCTCTAGTTCAGGATTGTACATTTCATCACAGATTACCTTTCTCTCAAAAGCTCCACCATACCAAAAACAAATCTACAAATAATTCAGATATACACAATACTGCTTGTACCATGCTTGTCATGAAATTTCCAATTATAGATAGCCTATTAAACATGTTAAAGGTAGCTAAATGATGATTTTGATCTTTCACCATGAGTTGTCCATTTGAGTCGTCAGGTGCTTGATGCAAGGACCTTTTTCTGTGTAGTCTAATTCTTTCAGCTTCGTCTGTGTGACCCCAAACTTAATCAGGATAAAATTATGGCCAATGCAGTCTTGAAATATCAAAGGCACTCTTCCTTAATCCTCCAAATGATAGTACAAATTGAGTTCTTAACACACTTTTTGTCTTTTTGAAAGAAATTTGAGGCCTGTCGTCACTTTCAGTTTAGTAGTCAAGCCAAATACATGATTTTTTTTTCTTCTCTTAAACCCTGTGTGAACATGGCATCTTTTAGAAAGATCAGGATAAGTGCATTTCCAGGGTAGTAAAAAGAGGGTCAAGTAAAAAGACTGTTCACTTTCCATGTTACAAAACAAAGCTGTACATGATATGTGTTACCGAATGTACGCAGCATGGATGTATCTTTCTTCTCTTTTTTTCTTTTTAAAGAATAAAAAGAAAATAACTGAATGAGAGAAAAACAGCAACACATTTACTCAACAACTAACCAACCAGGGACAAATTCTTTTCTTTTTTTCTTTTCTTTTTTGATTAGCAAAAAACATACTATGCATGCTGACTAATTCTTAAAAATGGGGGGGAAAAAGAAAACTCAATAAAAGGAAATAGTACACAACATGTAAATTATTGCACAAGAGAAAGGCTCGAAGTTTTGCGTCAATGCAAGAGTATTGCCCCGATACAGATCATGCATTCGATGGGTAATGGAAACAAGGTGTGCTGGTGCAGAGCACATGGTCTTAGGCTTCCACCAGGTTGGTGAAAGGGGAGTGTTGGGATTGGGGCAAATCTACAAGGGGGCTAGGAATAAACACTTGACTGTTGGCGACCCAGTTGCAAAGGAAAAGGTCTCATTGTTCTGCCTTCTACTCTGACTTTATTTCGGTACTCAAGGGACGGTCACTGTGCCATTTTTTCATGTGTTTCTCCAAGGTGCTGTAAACACTGAAGGGCATTTGACAAATTTCACACTTGTACACATCTTTGCCCACCTGACCATGGGTCTTCATGTGGCGAGTAAGTTTGGAGCTCTGGGCACACGCGTAATTGCACAGCTCACACTTGTAGGGTCTCTCTCCTGTGTGGCTGCGCCGGTGTACTGTCAGGTTACTGCAGTTCTTGAAAACCTTGCCACAGAACTCACAAGTGTCACTCCTGCGTCCATCCTTGGAACTGGGTCTCCCAGGACCCCCAAGGTGGGGCGTGCTGCCCCCGCTGCCTGTCCCACTGCGACCTGACATTCCCCCATCCAGTTCTCCTGGAGGGGTCGAGAAACGCAGGCTGCCATTCTCTGATGAGTGCTCAGATGATGATGCAAAAGGCGATTGTCTGGAATCCCCAAAGTTGAGAAAGGGGTCCTTGAGTTGTCGAGAGGCGGCATAGCCAGCCAACCATTGGGAGTAGACGTTTTCTGTGTTGGGGATTGTGGGGGTAGGCAGGTCAAATTCTTTCTCCAGTTTAATACGTTTTGAGAAGGGACTAAGTGGACTGGGGCTACCCAGAAGCAGTTTCTTTGAGAGGCCAATTGAAGAAGATTCATTAGGAGACGCTCCTCGTCCATTTACTGCAGAAACAGTGCCTTCCTCTACACGTTCTGTTTCCAAGACAGAGTCTCCATCGCACATGTCCCGACTGTGGTGATGGTCTCTGCTGAGATGGTGGTGCAGGTGGTTCTCCTGGGCCATGGCGTTACGTTTGTGTGCGTTGAGGGCTTCACTGAAATGCTGCATGCTGGCGGCCAGACCCATTCCCTGCATGACCTCTGGCAGTGAGCGAGGGATAGACGTCTCATCAGCCACTCCGCCCAGTCGACTTCCAATCCCGCTGCTGTTTTCATGCTGGCGTGCTCCTTCCAGGCTCAGTCCGAAGTGATAGCTGTTGTTTCGCTTGGGTGGCCTCTCCCCATTCTGTACTTCCTCCTCTTCCCCCTCCTCTTCCTCCTCCTCTTCCTCTTCCTCCTCCTCCTCTTCTTCTTCTTCCTCCTCTTCTTCCTCTTCCTCCTCCTCCCCATTTTCTCGTAACATGCGATTATTTTCACTTTTCAGCTTGGCCACCACTGATTTAAGTGCATTGCTTGCACTACCTATATGCTCACTAGTGCCAGGCTCTGGGGACGAGGCTATTGATAGACCGTCTTCTGACTTGCCCGTGTTTGGCGAGGATGATTTGTGCATGTGCGTCTTCATATGTCGTTTCAGTTTGCTTGCTTGTGTGCATGCGTGATCACACAAGTGACATTTGTACGGCTTCTCTCCTGTGTGGCTGCGCCGATGCACTATTAAATTACTCTGGAACTTAAAGGCTTTGCCACAAAACTCACAACACTTTGATTTCAACTGGGTGTTGGAGGAAGAGGGTGGTCCTGCTGTAGGGAGAGGGGTTGGAGGAGTGGTTTGTGAGCCCACAGGCGACTGCATCGAGCCTTGTAGTGGTGGTGGAGTAGCAAGATATGGAGGTTTGCTGCCCCCTGCTCCCCCTGCACCTCCGTTTCCTCCTGTCTGGAATGGCTGCAGTAAGCGCTGCATGGGGCTTGGCCGGCTGGGTGATAGCGGGGGAGTAGACCCTGAGGTGTTGCCCGCCAGTTCCCGTAGACGCCTTGAGAAGTCCATTGTCGGAGGTGGGTCTAGAGGCAGAGGAGGATTAAGGCGCAGCACCCTGTCAAAGGCACTCGGGTGGTGGGCTGCCAGCGCCAGCTCCTCTGGGCTCAGGTGGTGGGGATCCAGATGGTTTCGCGGAGGGGGGCTGAAGAGAGGAGGTGTTGGGGGGAAACGCTGATGATGGCCCCCAGGAACACCAGAGCCAACGGCACCTCCTGCTCCAACGCTGTCCCTTCCCCCTGAGCCCGAGCCAGGGATGCGGAGGAGGTTGAAAGGGCTTGCATCAGGTGGCAAATGGAGGCCATGAAGGGGAGGCTGAGAGGGGCAGTCAGCACCACCACCAAGGGAAGAAGGCCCGCCCATGCGTGGGGTGAGAGGACTGCCATGTTCACTTTCCAGGTAAATTCGAAAGCCATGGGAGTTCTGAGCATGCTGCAGCAAGAACCAGGCGCTGCCGTATGACTGCTTACACGTTGTGCAGGTGTACGTGGTTGGCTCCTCCTTACCTGTGGGAACAGAGAGGAAATGAACTTACTAACATGTTGACTACTTGTTGAACACTGCTTTGTGAAACAGACTTAAAGAAGAATGAACTGAATTTCTTTTAACACTTTAATGTAGAAAAAAATGCAGAACCTAAGGCCTAAATGTTACAGCGTTTAAAAGGGGCTGGCACATGGTGTTGAGGGCTTTGCAAACACAACAGCAGCTCTTATTGAGGTCATGCCCCACATGAGTAGCATGTGAGAAGTACTGTGTGTATCTCTTTTTCTCCCAGACTGCTTTGGGACATAATTTCTCCCCTTAGACGGACTGAGAGTCCTCCATTGTCAGCAGGAGAACAAAGATGCAGGCTGTCCCTGTGGACCGTTACTTCTTACTGATCTACCAAAACAGACTCGTTGGTGAATTCACACACATAAAAACACACCCTCACACACACACACACACACACACACACACACACACACACACACATCCCCAGGAGAGACAACGAAGAAAAAAACCCCCACTTAAATCCTTGAAGTTAGTGAGTTTTTAGTGTTTTTTACTAACCATCTTTAGTAGTATAAATTCATAACATATCCATGAAATATGTACAATCTCTTACTATTAATCTTAGAAGAAGCTAATATATGCACCAACTGAAATCCATAATCCATATACCTTTAATCCAGACAAATACGGTACATGCTTATACTCAATGACTCATCCAAATAGGTAACCTTGGCTGCCGGAGGAAGCTAAAACTGTAGGAGTGTGAAACCTTACAGGCTCCCGACTGAAGAGGAAATCTGACGTTCTCTGTCTGCCTCAGAGCTTTTTTTTCCTCCCTCATCGAGCCATGCACAGTCGCTTTGAGAAGACGATGAGAGGAACATTTAAAACAATAATTGCTTTTGTAGGGGCATCGGGAACGATGACCTGTGGTGTGACCCGCAGCGCGTGTCTAATCTCATTAGTGGACGGAATGGACGGCCATCAGCTCGTTTACGAGATTAGATGACAAACGAACCCCCCGTCGCTGCTGTTCAGAGGCGACTTTTGCTAACGCGAAATGAAAAAGCACATCAAAAGCAAAAAGGAGACAATTTTACCAAAGTCCGGGAAAAGATCTTATTAAAATACCAGTTCAGTTTGTTTCTATGAAGAAAAGAATCACTATGGAATCATTGCTTTATCCATTTGGCTCCTTTTTGAGATGCATAACAAAGAAAATCAAAGTAGTTCATCATAAAGCTAACACTGTGTAAATTTTCATAAATGTAAAATTATCAATAGAAACTCATCAAATTGTGAAAGATGGATTTTGACCCCATGAAAGGTGCAATATACAGTAAAAAAATTGTTTAAGTCCATTGTGAAATATTTTATACTTAAAAATGAGTTGAAACCCGGGAGAGGAGAGGTTTTATTTCTCTCTGCTCTTATCACACTTCTCTCTTTCCACTGCTGCTACTTCAAGAGATCTTGATAATTGTGACACATAAGGATTTAATTTGGCAAAACTGTTTATGTGGCCATGGATACTGGTTGTAAATTTATAATTTGAGTACAAAAAAACAAATTTGTTGAAAGTTTAATATTAAAACCAACAAGCTAATGGCAAAACACTTTTTTTTCTCTTTAGTGATCCTACCAAGAGAAACATTAATTTGAGGACTAGAATACAATTTTTAAAAAATCAATTCAGTAATTCTACTATAAACCTAAAATCATATATAAGCTAATGTAAACCCAAATTTAATTTCTCCTTAAAATTTGAATATTACTATCATTTTACTATGCTTTAAATCATGAAATGTTTATTACAAAAATGTCATCCTATTTAAAGTTTGTCCATAGTTGCTTGGTAAGGATTTGGTCAGAGCAAATCAGGTAAGATGCTTTGGACTTTATCTGCTTCATGAGTGGCTTAACCCAGGACTGCAACAGTTATAGCCCAGTCCTGGATACGTCTGCGTGGGGTCACTCTGACGCCCTCACTGAAGCTGCTGCCCATGCTTTTTACATAAATGTCCCTCAGACTCTTGAACAGACTTCGTAGTTCTCTCCAGAAATGATCATCTTTCATTTTGTTCCACTTTTCTCCTTTCATTAAACTTCCATTTATATCTTTGGATACAACAACTGGCTTCTTCAGTAATGATCTGTTGTGTTGTGTTGTGCTGTTCTTGCTCAGTTAAATCCCCATGATTTTTCAGGAAATGGAGTTAAATAATATTTATTGGTCTCATGTAATACAGTGAACCCTCGCTGTAACGAGCTTCACCTTTCGTGGCCTCGCTTAGTGCAGTTTTTTTACAGCGTATGAACGCATATTGTGTTCTGATTGGCTATCAATAAATCCACTCCGTCTCTCATCTCTGTCCAGTACAGAATGTGTTCGACTTGGCAGATTTACATGTTTGTAAATTTCCTCCATGACAAAACCCAACGAAAATGTTCTGCACCGACAAAGGCACCTGAAGACGTGTCATAAAGGCAGAGGAAGATGCTAACTATCAACAAAAAAAAAAGCTAAACTTCTGGATACATATCAGAAAAAAGAGCAACAACAACTACCAATAACTATGTCCTTTTATTTCTGCTTGGACCTGAAAACAGGTTTTGATCTTTGGTTTCGCTCTATCGTTCTGTATAACAATATCTCTATGCATTCAGTAAATCTTTATAAACTGGGTTTCACTTTTCAAACTTGCCTGAAGTAAATAAAATTTTCAATCGTATTCTAATTTACTGAGTGACCAAAACTGATACAATTCAGGAGATATAAACCATAACTTCACATCGCAGTTTCTGAAACAAATGTTCGACCACGACTGTGCAACCCATGAGCTCGACTCAAAGCCCAGAACTGAATCTGCGCTGACTGAAGCTGTAAGGTTAATGGATGTTGGAGTAGGCGACCGCTCCACTCTGTCTCCCTGTAATATACTCCCATCAGCCACTTCATTAGGCAAACTCTTCACCACTCCAAGGTAGAAAAAAAATGAAGTGAGAACGTAAAAGATGAAGACAGATGGAGTCAAAGAAAGGCAAAGACAGAAATGAGACTGCGGTAATTCCTCTGGATTAAGTTCAATAAAGGTGACAAATACCTCTAACAACTCTAAAGTTTGAGCCTGGCTGAATAGATGGAGATGGCAAAAAAAAAAAAGGAAGGGTATATAATAGCATCCGGTTCTTTACCTGGGGTAAATGTCAGAGCTTTGGAGGCACTAGTGAGACTCTAGAGAACACACGCAAGCACTGTTTCAGAAATGTCCTAACACTCAATACCTGCCATGCTACAGTGACAAGCACAGGCATTAAGCCCTATTAAGCCAAGGGCATTGCCTGGACACTTATGTGGTGCTAGATGGAGGAGGAAGCCAGTAAGGCAGCCTGGCTCAGGTTTCAGAGCTCCTCTGTGTGTGTGTGGGTGTGTGTGTGCAGCAGGATCCCCTGGCTCCTTCAATCCCACTCTGAAGGAAATGTAGCACTTTGGCTGTCCGAATGGCGGAAATAAAGCTTGTGCACCACACTGAGGACACAGAGTACACACCTCGCAAAATAGATTTATTACGGCCATGCATCTTCACCAAGAAATTATAGCAAAATTATGGATTCATTCAATTATGGATTCAAATTACCTTTCAAATGTGCCGCCTTAGCAGTAGCAACAATAAAGTTAACAGAGCTAATAGAATTACACTATAAATAGTCAGTAAAATAAAAGTAGGCTCTTAAAGTGTAATGTATATTTTGTTTTACTTGTTCAATTAGTGCCTCCACATGTCCCTGTAAATCCAGAAGTATCCTGTTTAGATATTTTATATGACAACACATTTACATTGTTTTTTTGTTTTTTTTCCCCCTTTTAAATGAATTTACCTTGGAACGTCAGCCTGAATAACTGTCTGTTCCTCAGCCAGTCATTCTGTTCTATAAATTAGCTGGATTGCCACCATTATTCCTCTCCAACCAGCTGGGATTCAGAAACCAATGCCAGGTCTTGGCTACCAGATAGGACAGTCCTGCAACTATCACACTGGCCTTTCCACCATCTCACTTCGGTTTCTTTCTCTGTAGAAATGTTCTTTTCTCTCCTGTGTTTTAATATTCCTGCTTCTTGTCTTGTCTGTAATTGCACCATGCAGTGCAGCAATGCAACATCTCTACCACAGGTTAAGGTGAAAATGTACCTTATTGCAATCTGAAATTTCCATCAAACTCTGGGTTTTCAGGAAAAACGGGTATGAGCCGATTCCCGATATCAAAATATATCAAGATTTTCAAAAGCTATAAATGAAGACTGCTAACTTTTTCCGTTGAATGTTCCTTGCAAAGTCCTAAAACAAAAATAAAAAGAACCTGCAACCAGGGTGTTCAGCTAGATGTACAGTAAAGAAGTGCTGCCCTTCCCCCACTTGTGGCTGTGCACTTCCATTCAGTTACAGTTTCTCAGCTTGTTCTGTATACTGTAAATATTGTTCATCAGACAGGCCTCGTGTGAAAACTAAACAGGTGCCACTCATCACTCTTATTAAGCCAACACTGTTCTATAACTATATAGAAAAATGTTCTATATAGTTTAAAGTAATAACAAATTTAGTGGGTGTTTTTCTGCATTTTTAATTACGTCTCTCCTTCAAAATCAAAATAAATGTTAGAGATAACTGTTCCGTAACTTGAAATAATTAATGTTTATTTTTAAAAAGCTATTAGATTATGTTGTGAATTTCTTGTATTATTTACCAAGTTTTTATACCATGAAAACGAAACAAACAAAAGACTAGTCGTAAAGCAGGAGAAATTGATTTCTTGTAGATACACTGCAGACAAAAAGTTTGGAACCAGTTCCAGCACAGGCCAGACATTCCTGTTTCTGTTCAGAGTTTTATGGGATTCTTTTGGAGCTACAGCATGTTTCCTTGTATTGGCATGACTATTGTCGTCAGTTTGCCCTTAGGCATACATTCATGCTACCAGACCATTTCTGAATGAACAAGTCACTGATAGA